TTACTTACCTAGGTTAAGCACAACCTTAGCACCATTATATGCGTTGCTGGGCAAGGATGTCAAGTGGAAATGGGACAAAGCCGAAGATGAAGCTTTCCGCGAAGCGAAGGACATGCTTCAGTCAGACACGCTTCTCGTACATTATGACCCGGATAAAGAACTTGTGTTGTCATGCGATGCCTCACCGTACGGTCTTGGGGCAGTGCTGTCACATGTGATGCTAGATGGTCGCGAGCGACCGATCGCATATGTATCGCGAACACTTGCTCCTGCAGAGAAAAAATACTCGCAGCTTGACAAAGAAGGTGCAGCGTTGATATTTGGTGTACGCAAATTTCACCAATATCTTTTTGGACAAAAGTTTGTTGTCTACACGGACCATAAACCGTTGCTTGGTTTATTCAAAGCAGACAGAGCCATTCCGAGCATGGCATCGGCACGCATTCAGAGGTGGGCTCTGCTACTAGCTACGTATGAGTACGATTTGCGGTATCGACCAGGAACTAAGAACAGTAACGCTGATGGTCTGAGTCGCTTACCGTTGAGTGAAACCGTGGTTAACATTCCTTTACCAAGAGAGACCCTATTACTCCTTGAACACTTGGACACAACTCCAGTGACATTTAAGCAAATTCAGGAATGGACCGCGAAAGACCCAGTTCTTATACAAGTACTAGCACATGTGCAGGATGGATGGAACAAATGTGGAAGCGAAGAGACTAAACCATACTTCAATAGGAAGGCTGAACTCTCCTGTCATGAAGATGTGTTACTTCATGGAAACCGCGTGGTTGTACCGAAACCAGGACGCGCCAAATTGTTAGAATTCCTGCATGAAGGACATCCAGGAATTGTACGGATGAAAGCACTAGCGCGTAGTCACGTGTGGTGGCCGGGAATAGATTCCGACATCCAATATAAAGTGCAGGCATGTACGGAGTGTCAGCTACAGAGACCTGTACCACCGGTGGCACCGCTTCACTCTTGGGACTGGCCAGACCGGCCATGGTCGCGAATCCATGTGGATTATGCGGGCCCTTTCCTCGGGCAAATGTTTCTTGTAGTCGTGGACTCGTATAGCAAGTGGTTGGAAGTCGTACCAACAAATTCGTCAACATCTACGGTGACAATCGCGAAACTGCGTCAAATCTTTGCGGAACACGGTCTACCAGATAAACTTGTTTCAGACAATGGTCCATGTTTTATAAGTGAAGAATTTGAGACATTCTTGAGAGAAAATGGAATTCAACACGTGAAAATATCACCACACCATCCAGCTACAAATGGACTTGCGGAACGTTCAGTACGCATTTTCAAAGAGGGAATGAAAAAGATGGGCACTTCCGGTGGTGATACCGCAGCTAAGTTAAGTCGTTTCCTACTCTCGTACAGGTCAACTCCGCAAACAACGACCGGGCTCTCACCTGCAGAACTCTTGTTCAATCGCAAGTTGCGAACCAAGCTAGATTTGGTTAAACCCGACGTTCGTGAACGAGTCGTCAAGCGACAACAAACTCAGAAAAACTATCATGACAGTCGCGCTAAAGAACGTGTATTTGCGGAAGGAGACCAAGTTTTCGTTAAAAACTTTTATTCAGGACCAAAATGGAAATCTGGAGAAATAGTATCCAAGACCAGTCCTGTTTCATACACGGTCGAAGGTCAAAATGGTGTCAGGGCTAGACGGCACGTAGATCATATCAGACAGAGACACTGTTTGGCAGTCGCTGAGCCAAACATTCACCAGGAAATATTTGAGTCGGACGCTCATCCAGTCATAACTGCAGTTTCCGACGTGGTAACCAAATCCAAGGACTCTTCACCATCCGTGTGGGAAAAGGAAGGCTCCAGTCCAAAACAGACAAAGCAATCGTCTGTTGTGCCAGTTGTTAGACCGCAACGTGTGAAGACAACGCCTGCGTACTTGAAGGACTATGTGACTCAAAAATGAACACATTCCACTACATTAGGAATACAGTGATGGCCGCTCTATAGCCCCGAAGTTTCAGTGTGTTGTTAGAGACTTGTATATCCATGATTTCCCCTTAAAGCCGACGTCTAAACGTTACAAGCTTAATTCATAAAAATATAAAGGAAAGGAAACGAGTGCTGACAAGGGAAGCCTCTGCTTTAATTTTATCATTTAATATGTTTTGGAATTATGTGATATCAAAATTTCTAATTTTTACTCATGTAAGTTGTTTGTGAAGCTGTGACTGAGAGAGCGATTGGTATTTTTACCTGTACAACGATGTGACGAAATTGTATATTTTGCATCTCACTCGACCCGAGACGTTTCGCCTTGCGATAGGGAGCGTATACACAATGCATAAACTCAGTTTCAGGTAGGGCGAAGATGTAGCCCCATTTCTTGTTATGTCAGTAACGGGTCATACAGATGACTCAGCTGGTGTCCCCCCTCGTATTTGTCCCGATACTGACATAACAGGGGAGGGGGCAAAATCTACACCCTACCTGTAACCTATATGATGCAATGTGTATGCTCCCTATCGATAGGCGAAACGTCTCGGGTCGAGTGACATGCAAAATATACAATTTCGTCTTATCGTTGCACAGGTAAGAAATACAAATCGCTCACTCGATCATAGAAACGTTGCGACACGTTGTAGAATGGACAACTTTTCATATCATTATTTTAATGTTTGCTGAAGATTATGTCACCGTATATTATATTCTGTGGATTTTAATAGGTGAAGTACTTGTTAGCCTCCCTTTGACCCTCGCGTGGCTTAGACTATAAAGGGATTTCGGAAATTGTTCAAATTAATATTCATCGAGATGTTTTTAACTACCCCTCTGTTTTGTATGATGGGATGTTCTTGTTTTTTTTAGTGCCAATTGAGCTTATGCCGTGGCGCGGCGTCCGGCGTCAATTTTTAGCTCACCGGGTCCGAAGGACCAAGGTGAGGTTATGCCATACTGTGGCGTCCGTCGTCCGTCCGTCAACAATTTCTTTAAACGACTTCTTCTTAACCACCGATTGGAATTTAACTAAATTTGACTGGAGGCATCCCTAGGTGGTGGGGATTCAAAATTGTACAAATGTTTGGGCTGACCCCCCAGGGGGATGATGGGCGCGGCCAAAAAGGGGTAATTTGGCTATATTTCTACAAACGACTTCTTCTGTGGAGCTATGCACTGGATATCAATCATATTTATTCAAAAGCATTCATGGGAGGCAGGGGTTCAAAATTGTACAAATGGTTGGGCTGACCACCCAGGGGGCTGAGGGGCGGGGCCAAAAAGGGTTATTTGGTTATATTGCTTTAAGCAACTTCTCTGGAACTAAGTGATGGATATCAATCATATTAGACTGGAAGCATCCCTAGGTGGTGGGGATTCAAAATTGTACAAACGGTGGGGCTGACCCCCCAGGGGGCTGAGGGCGGGGCCAAAAGGGGGGCAATTTGGCTATATTGCTATAAACGACTTCTTCTGTAGAACTATGCCATGGATATCGATCATATTTGGTCGGAAGCATTCATGGGAGGCAGGGATTCAAAATAGTACAAATGGTGGTGGGGCTGACCCCCCGGGCTAAGGGGTGGGGCCAAAAAACGTGTATTGCTTGGAAATGGTTGAGGTGCCCACCATATAAAGAGAAGAATGCACATTTGCTTCCAGGATGTTTCCTAGGGTCTGGCCCCACCCTTGGAAACGTAGTCCTTGGGCCATAACTTTAAAACTGTTGAGATCCCCACCCCAAACCTATATATACAAAAGCTGGGCATAAAGAGACGAATGCAGTCACGATGTTAGAATAGACTCTGGGGTCTGACCGAACCCCTAGGGACATTGTTTCTTAGTCACAGCTTGGAAACAGTTGAGATCCCCACCCTATAAAGAGATGAATGCACATATGCTTCCAAGATGGCCTTGGGGACTGCCCCACCCTTGGAGACTTAACCCCTGGTTAAACTATATATACAATTGTTGGGCATAAAGAGACGAATGCAGTCATGTTATTAGAATTAACCCCAGGGTTTGCCCCACCCTTGCAGACTTAACCCCTGGGTCATAACTTTGAAACGGTTGAGATCCCCACCCAAAACTATATATACAAATGCTGGGCAAAAAGAGACAAGTGCAGTTATGATATTAGAATTGATCCTGGGGTCTGGCCACAAAAGTAGGGACCTAGTTTCTGAGTCACAGCTTGAAACAGTTGAGATCCCCACCCCATAACCATACATAAAATTGCTGGGCATGAAGAATCGAATACAGATATATATGCTATATATGACCCTTGGGGTCTGGCATATTCCCTTGGATCTCATTTGGAGAATATTTTGCCATGATTGCTTAGATATCCGGGTGAGCGATACAGGCCTATGGGCCTCTTGTTTACTTTAACCGACTTCTTCTTAATAACAGAAAGGCTTAGGGTGTCGATTTCTGGCCAGAAGCAAACTGGGATGAATGGCTACAAAGTTTGTTAAAATTAATTACCTTCACCCATGTTCAAGGTCACAGGGGTCAAATATGTTAAAAACATCTTCTTCTCGATAACCAAACTGCCCAGGGAGATGATATTTGGCCAGTAGCATGCTTGGATGAAGCGCTACCAAGTTTGTTCAAATGAATGACCTTCAATTATTTTCTAGGTCACAGGGGTTAATTGTCTTAAAAAATCTTTAAACTACTTCTCAATAACCAAACTGTCCAGGGTGATGATATTTGGCCTGTAGCATGCTGAGATGAAGGGCTACAAAGTTTGTTTAAATGAATGACCTGCATCCATATTCAAAGCCACAGGGGCCAAATATGTTAAAAACTTTTAAACAACTTCTTCTGAATAACCAAAATACCCAGGGTGAAGATATTTAGTCAGTAGCATACTAGGATCAAGGGCTACCAAGTTTGTTTAAATGTATGACCTTGAAGGTCACAAGAATTAAATATGTTCAAAATATTTAAACAACTTGTTCTAAATTACCAAAAGGCTCAGGATGTTTATATTAAGTCAGTAGCATGCTGGGGTCAAGGACTACTATGTTTGTTAAAGTGAATGACTGACTCATATTCAAGGTCGCAGGGGTCAAATGTGTTTAAAACCTTTAACCAACCTCTTCTGAATAACCATGGGTCCGAGGATGTTGATACTTATCAAGTTGCATCCTGAGATGAAAGGCTTAAAAATTTGTTCAACATAATGACTTTGATCGACTTTCAATCACAGTGTTACTCTTCCGGCGGCGTCAACGTTATTGCGTTTAGCTCTATTTCTGATAAACTATTAAATTAAGACCACACATGCGTCTTGTATACTCCATCTCAATTCATGTACCAGTTGCTGAATGTGCCTTACATTTTGGGGTCCAGTGACTTTACGGCGTCTTTATCAATGCGTTTAGCTTAAGTATTTTATGCTGTATTTTAAGGGGTACGACGAATCGCCGAAACGGACCGAAACTAAACAGAAACGGAGTCGAAATGGAAACCATAAGCTATTTAAAGGGAATTCAATACAGTTTAGATTGTGTGTGAACAAAACGGACCCCGATCGGAACCGAAACGAATTTTTTTTTTTTTTTGGTAAATTTGAGCTGGGTTTCTTTAAATTGTCCTGTATGCCTATATATTCTGTATATTATATATGCCAAATACATACAATAATGGCATGCATCTATAATATATAAATACAAGCACATGACTAGATGTTCATACATTAGAAAGGCAATTATATCATAATGCAGTGACGAGACATCACATGTCTTGATACGTTACGTTAATTTTCCCCCTTTTATTTTTTCTCTGTTGGATTTCTTGGCTCATTTTGATTTTATTTTCAATTTATTTAACGCTTAAAATATTGATAAGTTGTCCATTTAAATGAGCAATCCATACTTATCTCAGCATAAAAAAATACTTGTGACGGTATAGACACACTGTTAAATTTTGTGTAAGTGGTTCTTAGATTTATGAATGGATGATTATATCAACATTTTCAACATAATTGTTCTATTTGTGTACCGAATTTTTCGAAATGGGTTAGTCTTCTTTTCCCTGTTTTTTTTTTTTAATTTTATTTTTGTCTAGATAATGTGAAATTATGGCACATATGAAGCTGTAGAACAGATCATTATATATTATACTGTTAAATGGAATACTTTGAAGGCATGTCACTGTTGAAAAGAAGACAACAAAATTAAATTAAATTAACGTTTTAATATATATAAACAAGCAAACAAAACAATACATATATAAGATGTTTGTTAAAAATCAAATTGTACGAACAAATATGAAATTAGAAATATAAAGACTGCATTAGAAATATAAACATTACATTAGAAATATAAAATGGACATTTTCGTAAAAAAAATGTATAGCTATATTCTGAAACCATCAGCTACACATAGCGTGCACCAGGGCTTGGGATCGCGGACCCTGCTTTCTTGGGCCTTATTTTATTTTTATTTATTTCACAAATTTCATTATTTTTTAAATTAATGTACATATCTTCACTTTAAAAAAGTGCACCTGACGAGGTGAGAAGCTGTGAATTAATTTAAATATACTTATCGATACAAATTGAATAATCACAATGACTAAAAATAAAGATACAGGTGCACCCGACGAAATGACGAAGGATATTTTAAATAAATAAATAATCTTGTATGAGTGCGTATAAAATAATCACATATTTAATAAAATGTTCAAATAAAAACACACACTATCAAAGTCATTGTCTTTTCACCACGTCTTTTTCTTTTTAGATACTGTCAATGTCCGTTCTGTCCTTTGTCTTTTTCTTTGTCCTGCTCACCAGTATTTGGTTTTTCCAAAGATAAATGTTTAAAACAAGAGGCAGTCACGTGCATGTCACACAAGTTAAACATCTAGTCAAAACCCCAGATAGTTTGACCCGAACAGCATACATGCTTAATGTCTGTCATTTGTTCGTCTGTATAGAGTATGATGGCTGGGGTCTTAACATGGTCATGTAGTACCTGTCTTACCAGGGGATGTCCTTCACGTACCATGTCCTGTAATTGTATGAAATGGTCAGTTTGTTTCGTCGGTTTGTAAACTGTCCGTTAGTCTTCCTCTCTTTCACTTTGTCATTCCTTTTCTTGTCCCTAACCCGCGTGGATTAGTTGGTCCCGTCGTATCGTCATATTGTCATATTTTAGGTTCAGTTTTCTGTAAATGTCCATTGGTTTCATTGTCTTGCCGAATTCTCCTATCTCTGCCATTACATTGTCGTCAGTCCTGACAAAGCCGTCCGCCTGTTGTGAGTTGCCATGTGACAATAACCCTGGAAACTTCCCAAAGTATTCTACCACAGCACAGTCAACTTTGTTGTGTTGTACGCCTTAGCCTAACCATGTCACTCTTTTCTTATAATTCTTATCGGCCTTAAGAGTGGTATAGTACCTGTGTATTACTACTATTGAGTCTTCTTGGGGGCTTGGTTCTATTGCTAAATATTGCCGCACCCTCTCGGTACAATACACCCCCTTCTCACAGATTTTTTTCAGCGACCCTGGATCGGTTTTAATGTATTTGGTCTTTGGAGAAGCCCCACTTGTGGTATCCAACACCCCACAGTCGTCTGAAAATCCACTCTTCACGTTGTTCTCAAGTTTTAATGTATTTGCTTTGTTGTCAATTAAAAATGTGAGGTAGTATATATAGCCTTAACTCTAGCATATATATAACATGTGAGGTAGTGTATATAGCCTTTATAGCATAATAAAATAGGCGAGAAAGAGTCAACAAGATATCTAGATATAATTGGTTTAAATTGCTATAAAAAGATTGGATGAGGATATAGTTGAAGTAGAGCATACTAAGATAGGCGAAGGAGAGTCGACTGGCTATCGGAGAAATCGCTTGTGTTTGTTGACTCAAACTAGAGGGTCCAAACTCGCATTAGCCTGGAGCTCAACTGCTTGAATCAACATTCTGCTTGTAAATAGTAGGGTGTTTAGTATGTTATTAAGAATGTCCTTATCGACTGGGTCAGTCCAGCGAAAGCGGTGATATGGGTATTTCCAGAGCAGATGATGTCGAGAGTGTAGTAGAGTACAAAAGAAAGGTCAGGGACACAATTGGATATATAGATGGACCAGCCTATGTTTGGGTAAGGCTTTTTGTGGATCCTGGTGTGTTTGTTAACTCAAACTTGATGATTCCGACCGTCTTTCAACGGCACTCGCATCAGCCTGGAGCTCATCTTAAATCAACTTATTGTTTGGAAAAAGTATCAAGAAAATGGTGTACATCTCAGCTTTCACCTATTATGGCTTATTGCAAATATGCCTACCATTGGTAATAATGGGGTTGAAACGAAACAAGGCATTTTGGAGTAACGTGTCCATCCTTATAATATATCGAGAACACTATGCCTTCCGCTGTCGCTTTGGTGTTGTAGTTCTTTCAGCCCGACGAATTTGGTTGATTTTCTTACTTTTGGATGCCTTTAATGGGACTGTCAACGATCCATCTCTTGATGTCAACAGATTTGTTGGTTTTCTGCCCTTGTCTGCCATGAACCTCTTGAAGGCTGAACTTCTTTCTTCTTCAGTTTTGTTGAACCAAACATCGGGAGTGACTTGATGATGAACAAAGCATTCAGACAAGTAGAAGGATCCTTCGTTGTATAGGGCCCGTTTCACATATTGGTACTTTGCATTAACATGTTTTAACTGCTTCCAGTCTGTCTTTACCTTCAGGACATGGTTGATGGACTCGCAGTTGTTGTTTGTCCACGCTTTTGTTATCTGCCGTGTCTGCTCAGATACACACACATTATCCTGGATGATTGGAAGTAGTCTCCGCTTGAAATACTCCACGAATCTGGGCATTTTGGTCCACTCAGCTAAAGCATTGTCCACCCGGTATCGTAGCACATCCATGTCCTCTGATGCCGTTATATCGTTGACACCAAAGAATATCTCTACAATAGTTTTCCTTTCAGTGGCTGTTGTAGATACCTGCTTCCCAAGGTAATACTTGACATTGTTCTTCAGTGCAAACCGTATTGCAGGCTGAAGGACACTTGCTTTCCTAATTGCAGTTTCATCATCCGAACCAATGGTCATCAGCGAAACTTCCTGCTCATTAAACTTTCCACTCAGAATAGCAAAGAAGATGTTGTATGTCTCAAAGTCAGAGTTCCCATGGAGAAAAACTGGTCGAAGACAAAGAGGGTGGTCATCTGTAAGTCTTTTCTTAACACCTTTGTGTTTAAAAACACTTAAGGTGACAAAAACATCCTGGATTTGGTCGGTGGTAAAACACACAACAGATGGTACTTTAGAATCCGAAAACACTACATTCTTCACAAAAGGGTGGTCTTGCGCAATGGCGGTAAGAGCTGCAACGTGTTAAGTTTCCTATACATGGAAGGCATCCAGTCTGTTGTTTCTTCTTCGAGGACCCGTTTCCTTTTGTACCGAACCTGTTGCATGGACATAGGAAGCATGACGGTATCGTCGTTAGTGTGGTGCATCATTTCCTACACATTGCGAGGACCCATGGTTTCTGACAGTTTTCCAACTTCTGTCAGCACCTCCGGTTTTGTTCGTCTGTACGGCCTGCTGTTGGTCTTGGAGTTGCCATGCGTCGACCGTCCTGGACATATTGTACATATAATCCAAATATGCCTATACATAGACCCCAAAAATACTTATAAAAGGATGAAGTTGATATTGATGGACTCAACAAAGGACATAACGATATTTTAGCACAGGAGATTTGTATCATTGCTTTGTTAAGTACTAGAGGACACTGACTTCTCTGAAGCCTTGTTATAATTTTAGTTATTTCCGTATTCAATCTTACCATAGCCACACACAGCGTTGTAGGCGGTTATCTCAACTTGTGTCGGAATGAAGTCGTCATTTGACTTACTCAAAAGAAAAATTTCCATTCTTTTGGTTTTCTTCCCCTGGTCTCTGAAAAAGGAAAAGTGAGAATTAAGACTGATGTTGCCAGTGCATCCTTTCATATCAATACAACATATCTATACAACAACTGAAAATAAGTGAAAAACCACATAATGCAAATAAATCTTTTTCTCTTAAGTGAAAAAACACATCATGCAAATAAATCTTTTTCACTTTAGTCAGAAAAACACAATGGAAGTACATATTTTTCAAACTTTCAAGTAATAAAAGGTGAAGGTTTATTGTCACATTTAGTATGAGGTCACTGATTGCACAAAGACCAGAAATTACAACAGATGTTGAATTACTGATGGACTTATTATTAAAAAAAAAACTTTTGAAAAGTCTCTCTTTTCTGAAACTTTAAACAATCATTCATGAGGAGAAATCATTGCAATTGTCATATTAATTTTAGCACTTTAAAGTAACATTCAAGCATTTATTGTATAAATTGGCTGATGAGTGGAAAGTTTAATGAGCAGGAAGTTTCGCTGATGACCATTGGTTCGGATGATGAAACTGCAATGAGGAAAGCAAGTTTCCTTCAGCCTGCAATACGGTTTGCAACCAAGTGCCTTTCTTGTATCAGGTCAAAAATGATGATCTTGTGGACATTTGTCTTCGGGCAGGTGAACGTGGACGTTTGTCTCTAATATGTGTGTTATAGAGGTATGTTTTTAAAATTTTAGGTTACAAAAAGCAGTGGATACTAAAGAAATGACGACTATAAAGAAGACTGCTGATGAAGTAAGTTTGACAATGGACACTTTTAGCATACCATAACCAACTTTTGTGAAAAGCTTTTCCGGGCGTATGGACAAAGTTTCGTGTTCCATTTTGCAGATGTGTCATCCACTTACTCTTCAGACTCATCAGCCAATTTATACAATTGGGGATGGAAATTGTTTATAACGAGCCGTTTCTAGGAGTCTGTATGGAAGTGAAGACTACCATATACAGCTTCGTCTATGCAGTACTATATAGTTGATTTCATATCCACAGCACTATGACAACAGCTCCTGATCTCATCGACTCTATATAGAGTGTGTATGTTGTAGTAAGTTATTATTAGCCGTGGTGCGGCGTCCGTCGTCCGTCCATCGTCCGTCCGTCGTCAATATTTTACTTTAAATGACTTCTTCTTAATAACCGAAAGGCCTAGGGTGATGATATTTGGCCAGAAGCAAACTGGGATAAAGGGCTACCAAGTTTGTTCAAATAAATGAACTTGATCTATTTTCAAGGTCACAGGGGTCAATTGTCTTAAAAAAACCTTTAAATAACTTCTTCTGAATTACCAAAATGCTCTGGGTAATGATATTTAGTCAGTAGCATACTAGGATCAAGGGCTACCAAGTTTGAATATGATTCAAGGTCATACATTTAAACAAACAACCTCTTATGAATAACCATGGGTCCCAGGAGTTTTATACTTTGCAAGTTGCATCCTGAGATGAAAGGCTATACAATGTGTTCAACATAATGACTTTGTTCGACTTTCAATCACAGGGGTGAAATGTTTTTAAAAAAAACTTAACAGGGTCTTTTGAACGAATTTTAATCATAAATACTGATATTTTGCCTGTAGCTTTATTTTAGATCACTTTTAAGGTTACAAGTGTGAGTTTTATACCAGGTGAGCGATGCAGGCCCATTGGGCCTCTTGTATGTAACTTCTCAACGCAGCAGTGACATATGGAGCCATGGTTCGCACAGGTCTTGAAAAACCCTTGAATTTGATGTCTGTCTTGAAAAACCCTTGAAAATCAATGGGAGTCCTTGAAAAACCCTTGAAAATCAGTGAAGTTAGTTTCTGTCATGTTAATTCAGTATTTTGTAAACATTCGTTGCAAACAATCATTATTTTTATCATTAGACTAATCGTCAAATTGCAGATTGTAATTTTAATAATTCCGGAAAATATATACCCGATGAAGTTTCCGTTGTTACTTTTTTATCAAAGCGCCAAAGTGACATACGGTCATGCGCATTAAGAGTACTGTTAACAGGTGGACACAAACGGAACAACTGCCGAGATGGGGAAGTGCGTATTTAACCGCAAATGGCTTGCCGATCCCAGATTTTACTGGTTGAGAGAGTTCAAGGGTGACAGGACTTTTGATTTGTGCTCAGTTTGTAACAAAATAAGCGACCTGGACAAGATACGCCCTTACATGTCATATGAAATCACAAAAACACGTGAAAATTTTGGGGACCGCTTCGACTCGGCCTGTGACAAACTATTATACTAAACCCTCTACATCAACGGCAAGTACATCGTCGATACCTACCTCAACTGTTCCTAATTCGAACACGGATGTCAATGACTTTCATTCATTATCAATCCCAGCCCCTCCAGGCCTTGTTGTTGGGGAAGGTCCGAGGACTGCAACAGGAGCTGGTACTCTTCGCGGCTACGTGTCTCGAGATGACACTTATCACAGCATTGTTTGTTTATGTTTAACGGCCCATCGACGGCTGTGGTCATTTAGGGCCATGGTGATTTATTTATTTATTTTACTTTTTTAACAACATGTGAATAGCGAAGATAAAATCAGATAAGATGGTTCAGTTTAAAAGTATTCGCATTGTATGTGTAGATAATAAAAGGGGGTTAAAATAATAAAAGAGATAACGAATAGATGATATGGAATATGCGATATATATATAACGTCAAAAATGATAAGGTTGGTTAAAAGACATCAGAGTCTATAAAATAGATCCATTTTGTCCGTCAATTTTATTGGTTTTGCGTAAATATGTGTTGGTATTTGGGGTTGAATACTCGGTTGAAAGCAGGATTTTTAGGGTTTGATTTTAATTGAGCTGCAAATTGTAATGAAAGTTTTTTTCTTCTGTCATAAAGGGATGGTTCATTTGCTTCCACGTACAGGCTTTTTACAGGTGTTGTTTGAAAAGCTCCAAGGGCTAGACGTAGCCCTTGGTTATGGATTGGGTCTAGCATCTGAAGGTACGAACTGCGCGCCGACCCGTATACCATAGAACCATAATCCAGTTTTGTTCGAATAAGTGATCTGTATAGGCGCAAAAGCATTTCCCGATCCGCTCCCCAATCAGTATGAGAAAGGACTTGTATAATGTTTAACGCCTTGGAACACTTATCCTTCAGATACTTTATATGTGGTATGAAAGAGAGTTTCGAATCAAAAATGAGGCCGAGAAATTTAGTCTGTTCAACAACAGGAATTCTAGTGCCATCGAGTGTTAGATTTGGGTCATTGTGTGCTTTTCGTTTTTGACAGAAATGCATGCACACAGTTTTGGATTTAGAGAATTTGAAGCCGTTTTCGTCTGCCCAATTTTGTAGTTTGTTTAAACTCTGTTGAAGTTGTCGTTCTATCGTGTGCATGTTCTTAGATCTGTAACAGATCAAGAAGTCATCCACAAATAACGACCCTTCTGTTGATTGACCAAGACATTTGACTATATCATTGATTTTAAGACCAAACAGTGTGACTGATAGGATTCCACCCTGTGGGACTCCCATTTCCTGTTTAGACGTTTCAGAAAAAGTTGAACCAACACGGACTTTGAAGTGTCTATCTGATAGGTAATTAGATATAAAATTGGGAAGGTTTCCACGTACGCCAAGGTCGTGAAGATCTTTCATGATGCCATACTGCCATGTAGTATCATAGGCCTTCTCAAGATCGAAGAACACAGCGACAAGGTGTTCTTTCTTGGCGAAAGCCTCTCGAATGAACGTCTCTAATCTGATGAGATGGTCATTTGTCCCTCTTCTATTTCTAAAGCCACTTTGAAGAGGGGATATTATATCGTTGGCCTCAAGAAACCAAACCAGTCTAGTGTTTATCATTCGTTCCAAAGTTTTACATACACAACTAGTCAGAGAGATAGGACGATAGTTGTTTGGGTCAGTAGCATCTTTTCCCGGTTTTGGGATAGGTATAATTGTGGAGTTCTTCCACGAATCGGGAATCTTTCCGGAAGCGTAAACTTGGTTGAATATGTAAAGAAGGCATGTTAGTGAAGAGTCCGGTAAGTGCTTTAGAAATTGATATGGAATATCATCAGGACCTGAAGCAGTGTCCTGTGATTTTCTAAGCGAATCAACAAGTTCTGGTAGGGTAAATTGTTCATTATAACTTTCTTTGTTTGATGATTTGAAATTGAGCCGTTTCTTTTCTCTCTTTTTTTTCAAAGACTGGAATTTTTGGGAGTGGTTTAAAGGGGATGAGTTTTTAGCTATGTTTTTTGCAAATGCATCAGCAATTTCAGTTATAGACGAGAAAATTTTGTTTTTATTAATGAGGTGGGAGGATGTTGCCTTTTTCTTTTTCCCACTTATTTTCCGAATCATATCCCATACTTTTTTGGAGGACGTGTTTGATGATATCTTGGATACATATTCTCTCCAGCTGTTTCTTTTGTCAATTTTAATTGATCGCCGAGCCTTTGCCCGCCAAATTTTAAATTCACTGTAGTTTGAAGCAGTTGGGCAATTGAAGTAGCGTCTTAGAGCAGCTGCCCGATTACTGCGTGTTTCAAAAGATTCTTCAGATAAAAGGAACTTCGTAGGTTTTGGAGCGGATTTTGGAATTGTCTTTTGGGCAATTGAAGTGAGTGTTTCAGTAAAAGTTTTGATAGGGTCGTCGAGGTTAGTAAAATTGTCTATGGTTAGTTTTTCAATGCACATGTGTTGGAATTGGGCCCAATCTGCTTTGTGCATATTCCATCGAGGTAGAGGATCATCAAGAGGAGTCCCAATATTCTGAAGAAAAATTGGGAAGTGGTCACTCCCACAAAGATCATCATTTACCCTCCAGTCATAGTCAAGTAAAATGGATGGATGGCATAATGATAGATCAATGTGGGTACGAGAGCCTGTAGCAGGGTGTAAATAAGTAGGGGTATTGTTGTTAAAAAGGCACAAGTTGTTTTTATCTATAAATTCCTCAATACGTCTTCCTCTCTCGTCTGTGTTGGGAGAGCCCCACAGGCTATTATGACCATTAAAATCACCGAGGATTATGAATGGTGTTGGGAGCTGGGAGACGAGATTATTGAGTTGCTCACAAGTGAAAACAATACTCGGAGGGAGATAAATTGAACAGACGGTTATTTGTCTGTGTAATGTTGCACAGACAGCAACAGCCTGTAAATTTGTGTTTAACTTGATCATTCTGTGAGGAATATTTTTATGGACAGCTACCGCTGCGCCACCTGCTGCTCTGCTAACTACAGTTGGAATGTTAGTGTAGAGTGAGAAATTTCTAAGCGTGATTGGGTTTTTGAGCATGATTTCTTGTAGACAAAAAATGGCGGGTCTAAATTCTTTTGATAGATTCTGAAATTCTTCTATATTTGCCTTTAATCCGCGGATGTTCCATTGGATAATTGTATTATTTATCTTTTGCTATTTTGGCTGGATTTCGATGGAGTCGAAGCACGAAGCGCTGAGGCATTCGTCTCCATCTCATCATCGAAATCTAGTAGGACATTGAACCGGTTTGTCGGGTCCTCTGATCCTTTGCCAAAGGTGACATTCAGATCCGGTCCTTCAGATTTGCCCCTCGCTATTCTAATTTTTTTCCTAGGTCTGTTGGTAGGTGATGTTGCCTCTGGTCTCAGTTGGGATCGAGGAACAGATGTGAGTGAGCGAGATCGCTGCGAACGCACATGTGCCCTAGATGGGCCAACCTTTGAAGGGTTTTCTCCTGAAGTGGAAGGTGTTTTTGATGGTGGTGCTGGTTTTGATTGTGGTGCTGGTTTTGATTGTGGTGCAGGTTTTGATGAAGATGCTGGTTTTGATGAAGATGCTGGTTTTGATGGTGATGCTGCTTTTGACTGTTTGTTGTTTTTGGTTGGTTTTCGTATAGACGTGAAACGAGATGGGTCTCCCGTGAGGATTTTCAAGTTATCTTGGCCAGACATGTCTGGGACTTGTGAGCCCCAGGCAGGTATGTCTGCAGATACTTGAACTGAAGCATCCTTGACTGCGACACTGTCAACCGGCGACCGGACTTTCGTCACTTGTGCATATGAGGGAGCAGCCACGTCCGTGCTCTCCACTATCCTCCTAGCCTCGGGGAAGGAGACATTTCGGGTAAATTTGACCCGCAATATCTCTCTCTCGCGATTCCAGGCAGGACAGTCTCGAGACGAAGCAGCATGCTTTCCCTCACAATTAACACAACGCAGGTTGGCAATATCACAGTCGCTTTGGTCCTCATGACCTTCACGACCACAGTACTGGCAAACGGTCTTCCACCTACATCTTTTTTCATGATGTCCGTACTTCTGGCAGTTACGGCATCTTAATGGATTAGGGATGTAGACGGAGACACTGCACCTTTGGTAACCAATCACTACGGCCGAAGGTAGTGATGGGGTAGCAAAGGTCAGTACAAATGTGTCTGTTGGAACCAACTTGTTGTTCTTCTTGGACAAAATCCGTCGCACCTCAGAGACTGGGATCTCCTCCTCCTGGAAGTACTCCAGTATGGCGGCATCAGCGTCATTACGCAGGGCGGGGCATCTGATTACCCCCTTGCTGCTGTTTAGTGATGGATGTGCTTTCACTATAACACTGATACCTCCAAAACTGGTGGTACCCAGTAGGTTAATCGCCTGTTGTTTGCGAAAAACTTCGATTAGGAGATCGCCAGATCCCAAAGGTTTGACGGACTTTACGTCCCCAGCTATTCCTTTTATACCCTTCCTCAACAGAAGAGGAGACAATGTTGCTGCAGTTTTTCCACTCGTGGTTGACGACATGATGATGAATTGTGGGAATGTGGTAGTTGTAGGGTGTTTTTCTGTGTTTTTTTCATTACCCATGTATGTTTATTAATTAGTTCACTGTCTGTGTCCCCGCCCGCCCCGGAGCCCAACAAGGGGACACTAATATCAGCGCGGATATCCAGCGCCAAAGTGTCAGGGATACACAAAGTAGTATACTCGTAAAAGTATACATAACGAGTATATATATTACCCGGAAGAGCATACTCTCGCGATTGACCCTAAGCCACCGCCTTCTTGGAAGTATGTAAACCAAGGGCTCGGCGTGACCAGCCGATTGGTGATAGAGGGCCCATACCACCTCTCGACTTCCCAGAGTCCGAAGCCAAAGTAGCATGTTGCAGAAAGTCGGATCATGTCTCCCTCCAATCCAGAGTTCATCAGTGATTCCGACCCCTGCTCAACCACCAGGATCTTCTTCCCCCAGGAATACGAGACGCAACCCACGGCAAACAGGTTGGCTCAAATTGGAGCTACTGTGAAAGCCTTCTGCTACGTTGACGCCCAGCGCGCGACAATCACACCNACCAGGATCTTCTTCCCCCAGGAATACGAGACGCAACCCACGGCAAACAGGTTGGCTCAAATTGGAGCTACTGTGAAAGCCTTCTGCTATGTTGACGCCCAGCGCGCGACAATCACAGCCCCGAAATGATCACATACGCACTGAGCACCAATGTACCCAGCCTCGGGACGTGGACCCAGCTTTCTTGGAGACCTAGGGAATGAAGGAGGCAGCTAAGAGACCAGGTGGTAGCAACCTTAATCTGGATAAAAAGGTTACTCCATTCATTGGAAGACACGTCGAGGCATGACCTGGGGTGAATTTGATCCCCTCGTACAAAAGGAACTGGAAAAATACCCTCCCCCAGATATGATCGCTGTTCAACTCAGGTCTAATGATGTGGTTAACATCAACGGCAAGGAATTGATAGAAACAATTAAGTGTTCATTTTTGAGGTTTGCTGAGTTATCTCCCCTTACTACAATAATTTGGTCTGAAATACTACCTCGGGGATATTGGCATGGGGCTCGCTCTTATGTTAGTATTGAAAGAAAGAGAAAACGCATAAATTATGCTATCAAGAAACATTTACTACAGTCAGGTGGCAAGATTATACGCCACCCCACAATCCAAGCATCACAGGCTGCTTTATACCGTCCAGACGTCGCCCATCTTTCTACAGCAGGTATTGGTATTTTGCTCAACAACTACCAGGGAGGTTAGAATATTCAAACTACCAGGGAGGTTAGGTTAGAATATTTCTCAGACAGTGACTCGGGCTCCATTTTCCCAATTCCATCTCGGGATTAGTTTTTACCTTGAATCGGAGGGGGGGGGGGGGGGGGGGTTAAGGTAGTTTTCAAATAAGCACTGTTTTAGTCAATGTCACTCTCCTATACAAGCTATATAAATATTGAATAATTTGTTTTGCCACTTTACCCTACCATTCTACATTTTATTTCAAAAAACGTTACAGGAAACACACATATTTTTGGTAGTACTCGCCAAAAGTACACTCTTCTTTCACTGCTTTCACACAGTGGCCTCCTTTCTTTGTTTTGAAGTAAGACACTTTCCACTTTAAGGCACCTCCACTTGTGTGAGCCTGTCCACGGTTTGCATTCTCATTGTTATGCAAAGTAGCAAGCAAGAGTCTGTATAAGGAAATTCATTTGGAATTGTATTTTCTTTCTCAAATATGCATCGCACAATGAACATGAAAATGTTTAACACCCCAGTCTCCCAGCTTTAATCCCTCCCATTAAAGGTTAAGTGTAGTTAATGACTGTTTGTGGAGTGTCTATGTAAAACGTAAGACATTTCAGATATATCATGAGCCAGTCAAAAGATTATGCATGTCTACACAAAATCTTGTAAATGTTGTGCAGAATCAGTAGCTGCTGTATATATCTTGCTTTCATGGCATCATAAAAGTAGTGCAACGATTTGGGAACAAACTGGCACACAAGGCTGTGGAAGGATTCTAGCTGTGATGTTTGTTCTCTTGGAGACAGAAGTTTGATGTCTTTGGTGATGTACTTGTTGGATACAATCATCTTTAGCTCCTTGTGTACTTTAGAGCCTGTAAAAGAACATAAAGATAATAATTAGGAAACTTATATCAATACTATTTTTAATCAAAAAACAATTAAAACTGATAAAAAAAACTAGACCATGATGTAATTCAGTTTACTTCCTACATGAATTCTGGTTAATTCTGAAACAATTAAAAACAATCCTTACCTGGCAGAATCCAGTTTCTTGACTTGTCCAGCGCTGCATGCTGACATGCTGGGAAACGGTCTCCATGGCCTTCATGTTTATCACAGACATGGTTTGAGATTGGTTTTTGCACCACCAACTCACCATCCCCATCACTTGTCGAAGCGGCCCAGTACAAATGGTTAGAAATGGAATGGGCCCAGTCTCCAATCTGCTCGCTCCCTTTCATTTTTGCCAAAGAAACGAGTTTCTTGTAGATGCCTGAAATGAGTCCACAATATATCAATGCACATACAGAACAATCACTAACCATTATTATATATATATATATNCCCAGTACAAATGGTTAGAAATGGAATGGGCCCAGTCTCCAATCTGCTCGCTCCCTTTCATTTTTGCCAAAGAAACGAGTTTCTTGTAGATGCCTGAAATGAGTCCACAATATATCAATGCACATACAGAACAATCACTAACCATAATTATATATATATATATGTATATATTTGTGAAGAAAGCAAATCAATATTAAATGAATATAAATGATATATTATATAAGGACAACGGAAATTGGAAGGGGAGACAAATGCCACCAATAGTTGATTTTGGAATACTTATACACCAATTTTACAGTGGAAGCATAACTTTATCAGATAACTAGATCACACTGACTTACATTGTATAAGTATATCATTATTTTTTGCCATGATAAATGCATGAACACATTTTCACATGCAGATGAGTGTAACATTTATGTTCTTGAAATAAATCATGTAACTAATGTACCTTTAGCAACATGCCACACATCAAACCAGTGGTTAATATCAGGCTCATGTTTCTTCATGTGGCTCTTGACTATGACGTGGCGATCAGTTGTCAAGTCTGTGACCTCTACATTGGCGTCCCGCAACGAGTGTAAACACCTTTTCAAGCCTTCCAGTTCCATATGGCATGAATTTTTTGGTCACCCGAGACAAAGTCTCAAGTGACCTATTGCGATCGCCTTTTGTCCGAAGTCGTCTGTCGTGCGTCCGTAAACAATTTACATTTTCCTCCAAACCCCCTAAAGTCGGCATCAGTTCTGCGCTATCACAAGGAGACAAACACGAACATATCGCAGCCTCCCAAATACAAACACATCCACTACACACATGCATCTTGCACACAGGGGTGGCCGTCCTTAAATGACCTTAGCTGTTAATAGGACGTTAAACAAAATCAAACAAACAAACAAAAACTCCCCAGGGGGAAACGTGAAACCCCAGGGTCAAGAAATTCACAATTTTAGTAAAGCACCTTAAGACCCTTACATCTATGAAGAGTATTTGATTCTACCATATCTTGATCTTGAAATTTCAGTCAATTTTACCCTTTTTGGCCCCGCCTCTCAGGCCCCTGGGGGCTGGGGACCATATAATTCACAATTTTATTTGACCTTGGGCAATGGAAGGTCCCTGCAAAATTTCATTGAAATTGGTTCAGGGGTTTTGGAGACGAAAATGTAAATTGTTTACGGACGCACGACGGACGACGACGGACAAAAGGCGATCGCAATAGGTCACTTGAGACTTTGTCTCAGATGACCTAAAAATATAAATAGTCTCTCATAATTTTATTATGTGATAATACGGACATTATATATACATATATAAACGAATGAAAATCAAGACTTTCGATCATAAGAAATGGACGAAATTATCTTTAAATCAAATGCCTCGATCGAAAATAATCAAAGTGTGAGGAAAAATAATATTTCGGATTGTTTGTTTTGTTGTAAATCGTATTGACGATCCGTATTTTAGGATGATCAAACCGTTACAAACATTTCAAACGAACCGCCATTAGAAGAAAGTCTAATGGAGTGCAGTCTATCCGATAGCGATTCTGACCTCATGGAATATCGCACACCAAAGAAATAGTGGAATAGAAGTTATGTACACCATGGGTTTTCCAAACGAACAGCCAAGTACCACTAGGTTTCACCAGATAAATATAGCGACAAGAATTTCAGTGGTAATACTTCTAGAGTGACAAGACTGTTCCGAGATGTCATCCACACGTCATAAACAATCTGGACAGCAGTTTGATGCATTGCATGGAACACCAATTCTGACAGCGGGAGAGTGACCCATGATGATGCTATTCCTGGGTCAGAAAGTGACTTTAGTCCAACTGATGAACTAATATCTTATTCAGGAACAAGAAGTAGATCAGAGGGAAATGGAAAAATCAGGTTAATCTAGTTCAATCTCTTAAACAGATGATGAAGATGCATCCTCCCTTTCTGACATTTCCGAACTTTAACTCCAGCTCATCAGATGATGCTATAATGGACCATTTCAATACTTGTTTGTTTGTTTGTTTGTTTATGTTTAACGACCCATCGACGGCTGTGGTCATTTAGGGCCATGGCGATTTATTTATTTTTAGCTCACCTGGCCTTGTGTTGGTTCTGTTTTGCGGATGCCCCCAGGCCGCTAAAATTCCGCCTGAACTACGGCATCATTTTCATCAGTGGACCAGACTTACACTTCACGGCTGATTCCTGGCTACATACGTTTGAGATTGACCTTCCCTAACATGCTAGCGTCCCTAACTTTAACGAAGCTACGTGTATGATACAAAATATGTTTGTCAACCAAGCTTCGGTAGCATTCCAGGAAATAGCTTGAACACAACGATGCAAGATATAAACCAATTGATTCCAGACTCATCCATGTTAGCAAACAGAACAAAAACACGAGCACTACTCCCTTTCGTTGGCGACATCGGTAAGTCCATATTTGGTACCGCGGCCACAGGAGACGTTCGTACTCTCGCAAATCATATAAACGCATTGACTAGACAAACAAATCCTGTCGCCCGGACACTGAAACAACATGGAAATCATTTCTCATCCTTCAATAAAACAGTGAATGACAAGCTGAAAAACGTCGCAACACAAATAGGCTAACCGAACATGAGTTTACCCAATTAAGAAGTCAAATAAATATGAACGAAGTTACTATCTTTAAAGCATCCACGCACATTCTTCATCAGTTCTCCACATTCTAAACCACAAGATACATCTCAATGACCAGTTACAAAACCTCAAAATAGGTATAACAAATCTAGTACACGGCAAACTTGCACCTGTACTAATTCCAGTTAATCTTCTTACAGACACCATAAACAGCTTACAAACCGTATTAAACACAAAATACTCGGGCTATTCATTGGTGACAGAAAACCCCACATTCTACTATCAACATGCTGACTTTTTATACTTTCGGAAAGGAGCTAAACGTTACATTTCGGTTAGATTTCCGGTTACGGCTCACAAATACCCGTTCCAAACATATTGAATGCTATCGTTCCCTGTACCAGTTAATGACACAACCAATCACGCCACCCAACTGTTAGAACTACCAGACTACTTCTTGTTATCACACGAGGAATCCCATTACACCACATTGTCGGAATCAACCATTACCCGATGTAAAGGGGATTCATTGAAAATTTGTCAGCATTAACCCCTCTCGAAAATACGGATTGTATTCCATCTATCTTCTATGACAAGACAGAGAATGTATTTCAGAAGTGTAAGTTTAGATATGTCCCCCAACGCAATACGTCCACAAATTTTAGATATTCTACCATCCTCAGTACTGGTATACAAAACTCCTAATATCACACTGCTATGTGCCAATGGAACCAGGCAATTCCAAGGTTGTGATTATTGCACAATATCAATTTCTTGCAATTGTGATATTAGTACCGAAACAATATATTTCTCAGGATTACTGACCCAATGCTCAGACTCCATCCAGATTACAAAACGTCACCCTGTAAACTTGGCGTTGCTCCAACAATTCTTCAACGCGTCAGCTTTAGGCAACATAACGGCAACGACGCTTTATCCCAAACCAATACAGATTACTTTACCGTCTCTCAAAGTGTACCAACACAAAAAGAATGTGTTAGTCGCGGACGATCGAAAAACAGATCTGAACTTGGCTAAAATGGCCAAGGCCGCGAAAGACGATTCCACCGTATTCAATTCTCTAGCAGACTCTATTGTAGCAGGTGATGTCAAAATAGAATCCGACGATTTTTCACTCATGGATATTTTAGCAATTTCCGGCGTAGTTCTTTCGTCCATCAGTTTTCTCGCAACCATTTGGTTCATGTTCATATTTAAGCAGTTGTCTACTGTCCTTATGTTTAGGAAAGTCGCTTCTGCTCCGTTGCCCAATTTTAACTACGTTCTTCCGTCTACAACACCCGTTCCAAATATTGCTGACATCATCTCATAGTTCCTTATGTGGGACCACGCGATATTTGTCCTCTCCGCTCTTGCAGTTATCATAGCCATCATAATCCTCGCTACCGTCCTGCACAGACGTACCACTCCCACTCAGGTCATTGTCAATGTTGCCTCACATTCAGATTGTGTAACTGTGACAGTACTGAATGTACCTATCTGTCCAATCTACTGGGTTGTTGACTTCCCTCATGGTGTTACAAATGTATCTGTACACGGAACCTTCCTCCCAACCCTCGAACTAACATGGCCAGAATTCCAAAATGAAAAATATACTCACTAATCAGACGGTCAACGTTCCATCTGTGGTTCGTACCTCCCCGTGGACCGCCCGACGAATTAGAAGTATCCTTACTCAAAGTTTCACAGTATTCCCTATGATCTCTCATCAAGGAGTACTGCACCCGATTACGACACCTTTGGATACGCCCAAGCACATCGCTCAACCACCCCAACCAACCATAACCCTGCAGCCCCTACAAACCAAATATATCCCTATATCCCCCTCTAATGGCAATGCAGTAAAAGAATCATTTGATGTTAGTATTAAGGTATTAAACAGACATGTCGAGTTACAGTTGGATGGAGAAACTCCACTGACCACTAACCTTCGAATAAGTGAAATATTCATTATATACTCAATCTTTTTTCTTTCTGTTTTGTTAAGAACAAAGACGTGTATTTACAATGAGTGTAGTTTATCACTAGCTGATATGAAGCGAGTTGTTTTTGTCACGCACAAATATATAGCTTTGTACAAATAATTTTTAACCCTGGTTGATTGTATTACGATGCTAAAAGGTCCTAGGATTGTGAAGGACTTAAAAGGTGTATGCAGTCATATTTTTATTGTACACGACTCCCTTGTGCATCAGATCGAGTTGACCTTGGGGTCAAGGTCTTACAACCAGGGGGGGGGGGGCATCTATTACGATTGATTTTTATTG